GGGGTGACGAGAATAGATGCGTATTTAGTGGAGTAGTGTGGTTTCAGCCATTGAGAGGACATCGGTGTCACGAGGGAGGGGGGCACCAGGTGAATTAAATGACAGTGAGCAAGGCCATTAGGGGTGAAATTAAAAGGGGTCGTCCGCCCTCTCCCCTTTTTTCTCTCTCTCCCTCTCTCTACCCGCCCCCCCCCTCTTTTCTCTCTCTCTCTATCTCTCTCTCTCTCTCTCTCTCTCTCTCGCTCTATTGTCCCCCCCCCCTTTTTTTCCGCCCCTCTCTCTCTTTCTCTCTCTCTCTCTCTCTCTTCATCTTTCGCTGGGCCCTAGCCCAAGCCCCTTCCTGAGTAGCTACGCACACCACTGCTGTATAATGACGCAAATGTAAAAAAATCATATTTGTACACCTGAATCCAGGTTTTATTAAACCTTTTATTAATTCAAGGATAGACATTTAATTATTCATCAGTTGTTTGTAAAATGAAATTAATGGATAGTTTTGGTATTCAACTAGGTGTAATTATGCTAAGATTCACAGAACAAAAGCAGAGAAGGGGAGAAATTGACTACATTTTCTACAAGACAGCTCATACGAGAAGTCTGGCATGGAACATTGTAACTCTTAAAAGTATGTTACTAATATTAGAAAAGCTTAGAAACTTAAAGCCGATACAAACATCGCTTTCTTGTGCCACACCTGTAATAACAAAAAATAAAAAATGTAATCAATGGATGCCGGCAACGGCAAGGCTTTTTAAAACATTATCGTTGAATTTATATGTGCCTATATTCATATGTTTAGGTATGTGCACAAATTCCAAGTATAATTGTATTTTTGTTTAACGATATGACATAACGTTGCCCCCATCGATTCAGAATTTACAACAGAACAAAACTAAAACATATTTTTTGATAGCATGCAACAATAATTTTCCTTTTACCATCCAGCGTTATAATGTATTTGAACAAAGACTTTTACACCCGATGTATATCCTCTTCTCCATCTTTTAACCTTTGTACACATCTCAGCGTCATGACCTTGATCACAAGTCATCTTAGGTCACCTCTGGTGGTCAGCCTTTGACCTTTATTGCGCGGGCTGAAATAAGCAGCTCAATTGATCCCCGATGAGTGACAACGTTGTCAATTTGCGGGCTGGTCAAGAAGGTCGGAAATCATTTCCAAGTTGATTGTGTACACATGGCATGTATCACACAACCCACTCTATCTCCCTGATTGATCGGGGTGAGATCGTGCCTGCCACAAGTTGGTCAGAAGCGTCAATTTAATAAATGGGTTTCTCTCGCTGATGTGATAGTGCGAGTTGATGTTTTCAGCAAGCATCTGATCGTTATACTCTGTTGCATTGCTTGAGTTGTCTAACTCTGTAAAGAGCACAACAGTAACCCCCAAATGTGTGAAAATGTATTCCTCTGGCCCTCTGCCTCTGGGAACTTTCTGGCTACGCTATCTAATAAAAATATCAAACTCAGGAGTATCCACACTTGATCAATCGCGACACATCTTCCATCGGATACTGCATGAGCAAAATGAAATTACTACATTAATTTTGTATAACGAAAACTAATATTGACCGTTTGCCTCAATTATATTTAAAAAATATACTGCCCTTTATCACCATGACTAGTCATTTTATATAGCTTTTTATTTTAAAAACTATCCACTGGTTTGGTCTATGATCATACTATGAACCCCAAGCCCCCCCCCCCCAAAAAAAGAAGATATTTCCTCTTAAAATCAATCCTGTCCTAAGGACAAGTTTGTATTTAAAGGGGAATCCAACCCTTTTAATAACTTAATTTGTATGAAAAGCGGCAAATAAGAGAAACAGAATGGTGACAGTTTTAAGTGTACAATGCAATCCCATGTACTATATTTTACTTTTTTGGAAATAGACAAAACGAAATGATTATGAGTGTTTGAAATATGCTGATCACTAAATCTATTCGAATCGCAAATGGGCGATTTGCTCACTGGATTGTGACGTATTCACGGACAACTCTCCCATTTGTCGTGTACACAAATATCTTTTCCGTTTTTTCTCCTAAGCTACTTCTCCTTTGGGGCGCTAATCACAATTCATTGTGGATATCATATTATTAAAGTTTTTCTCTCTAATTTAAAAAAACTAAATTATGTATCAAAGCCCCTAATGAGTCACACATTTTGAAGGGAAAAAATACATTTTAGTGTTGGAAACAAATTGAAAGTTGTCCGGCACTTCGTCACAGTGACACTGCCGAATCAGTCAATTTGAAGTGTCCATTATATAGTGTTTACAACTTTACAAAATTCATAACTTTCTTTTTTTTGGGGGGGGGGGAGGGGGGCCTGATTTATTCAAACTTTCACCAGTGTGCTTCTCAGGTGCTTCTGCTTTCTTTTGGAGTAGTTTACTATCAAGGTTGGATTTCCCTTCAGATAGAGGAAAACAATCCCTGTTTCCAGGTCAGTGTGAAGACGTTGTATTAAAAAATCGGGTAACTCACTCGCCAACTGCGTTGCCTGGAACAAATCAATGCCTGTATAATCATACGAGACCAAGAAAAAGAGATTATAAATCACATCGTCCTTAAACTTCTACACAGCCATACATCAAAATAGTTATAACTCAGCATTATTGCTCGTTTGATTTACTGATTTACAAAGCATGCCAAATCAAACGAGATGACATTCTGTGGTTTGTTGACTTTTATCACTCCCTTGTTCTTCGTTTCGTTGCCATGGGAATAGAAACATGATATCTCTGTTCTAGATCAATTCATAACATATCATCACTAGAGTATAATCATATGCTTGAAGAATGATCATTGTGATGGAGTATTTGAAAACTTTTTTTGTTTTTAACATTGATGAAAAATACAAACTGTATCTCATTCTTAATTTCACGCACATCGGCGATATCTGTCTTCTCCTTTCGATTCGTCATTCGCATACATTTTGTCTTTTGGTGTGAGGGAAAATCCTACTTGCTTCTTAATCTCCTCTTTTTTAAGTTGAGGATTTCTTTATGATTATTCGGTGTCCTCAGTCTACCGCTCATTTTTGCAGTAGCCATCAGCCATATTTCGTCTTAGATTGTTGGTCTAACATAAATACACAAATAATGCAACTGCTTTCACTCCAGACAGTCATGTAATTGTTTCATATCGCAAAGTCTAATCAAATATTTTAAAAGTGATCTTTAGCAGGAAGAAAAAAAGGGAAATGAATAAATAAGCGGCCAGTTATTGAAGAGATGTGTCTTTAGGTTCTTTTGAAAAGATTCAACATAGTGGAAATGCGGACAAAAGACTGGTACGTGTCTATTTAATTATGTTTTGAGGTCCCCTAGCCCAATTTCGAGTTGACACGTGGTACTTGGATGGGTGCAGGATCGTTTGAAGCGCGGAGTTACTACCATAAGAGTCAACGAAGTCTATTATATTCTATTCTACTACCCTGTAAAAATCTCAACTACAAGCCTACCTATAGAATGAACTGATGTTATCTGAACTTAAAAAGCATTATCATTCCGTTAGCATCACCTCCACCTCTTTCAAACGAATAAATGATTTTCTTATTATTTTAGAGCCGTTCTATATAGAGCCATCGCGAACCTGACCAGTTCTATTTTTGTCTCTCCAGACAATACGGCTTCCTCCTAAACTAGCGACCTCAAGTGATACCATCATCAATAGTCTGGCAGACTGAGAGAGAAAACTCATCCATCAAACTTTGACATCATAACTAGACGAGTATCTCTTACGGAGGAAAGGTCCAACTCACCCTCCCCCGAAATCGTCTCGGCATCCCTCACGAGAGTCATGTCTGCAGCACTCCCTTGTCTCTCTCTCTCTCTCTCACTCACTCATCCCCCCCCCCCCAAAAAAAAAGTATTTCATTTTCTTCCTTTCTCTCTCTCTCTCTCTCTCTCTCTCTCTCTCTCGTTCTTGTGGCCTCTCTTCCTGACTTTTCAACTTTCTCTTTCTTCACTTCTTCCTACAGAGAGTAAGTATTGAAATGAAAATGCCTATTTAGGTATATCCATAGTGCGCACGCAAATGTTTGACTAGCCTTTTGTGTATGGACAAAGAGCAAGGTAATGATTAATCACATATTTTCCACAAATTTGTGTTAAAATATTGTTTTTAATCATGAATACAAGCTAGAAAGTGATCAGGTTCTTCTTCAATCATTCTTTTATAGCCCTTTCTTCCAAACTTGATCCCCAAAAGAAAAGAAAAAACCCAAACCTGTGTAGTTATCGTTCATACATTGTTATTGTTTTTTTTTTTTTTTTTTTTTGCTGTTATAACTAGTATTAGTATTGTTATTAGTATTGTTATTAGTATTGTTATTATATAGTTATTATTATCATTATCAATATTATTATTTTTATTATTATTATTGTTATTATTATTATCACCAATCATCATTGTTCTTAGTAAAAAATTATCACCGTCATCATCATCATCAATTCATTATCGTATCATTAACATCTTCATCAAATGTTATAATTGTTTATAATGCAAGTGATCAATTATATAAACCAACGAGACTTTGTGATTGTTCATTTTATCAGTATCATATAACAGGGAAGAATATATAGCGGTCATAATTATTATAAAAGTAAGGAAAGCAGAAAATGTGCAGAAAGTAGGTTATATATTCCAACTCCCTAGTTATACGGGTCCGTGGATGCAATTCTTAACAAAATCAGCTTTAAGTTGTCTGGGCCTTACAATTAATTCATAATTTCATAACAATAATATGTCTAGTATTTAGTAATATAGTAATCCATCAATCTACTTCGTGATCTACATGGTATATATAAATTTGCATATACCCGGAAGTTATGGTTTGACATGTCGACATGCTTGAGTTGTCAAACTACCATTGATTGGATCAAGGATTTGTAGAGAAACATTACCCAATGCTGACAATTGACCAATGGCAGAGCGCGTACTGTTTAACGTTCGCCTTCAATTTTTGCATTCTTCCGTTGCCAGTGTATACAACTCCGGCTCCGTAGAAAGGGGTTTTGAACCTCTGGCGTTTGAGAATTTCTGAAAGTTTAAGCCCACTATTAATAGTTTAGCCATAAGGTAAGAAAAGTGTCTCCACACCGATTTTCTTTCCTTTTTCGATGTTCAGAGAATGAGTTTATAAACGTGAACAGAATAGTGCAAGTGGTGCCACTGCACTGCAATGTGACTGCACTGCAATGTGATTGCACTGGTGCGGGTGGGAGTGCAGTGCAGAACATCCGTGTGCCAAGTGCATCCCAGGCCAGTCGGCCCGGCATGGATCGATGGCAGCCGACAGTCACAGCTCAGCTCAGACTCAGCTCAGCGCAGTGCAGTGTGTACATACGGCCACGGCGCGCGGCGTAACATAATTTATGATTAATATGTGGTACTGTTTATGTTTTTGGTAAGGGGCATGATCATTCTTGTGGCTGTCTGCAACTCTGTGGTGGATTTTAAAATTATTTATTCATTATTTTGGGGACGTAATTGTCTCAGGGGCGCTGGTCCGAAAATAAAAGATCGTCCGCATAAACAAGGATCGTCCGCATAAACGAGGATCGTCTTCCTAAGATACGTGGACGGACCCATCTGCAAAAATAAAGATCGTCCACATTTTTCGCTGATCCTGATTCCCGATGTGCACGTTGGCGATGCGAAAAATGGATTCCGCGATGATTTTTTTTTATGCATTTCACATTGACATTGTAGACTAATTCATAGGCCTACAGAGATTTTCACGTTATACGCAATAAATCCTTGGGTAGACAGTGAACTGGGGGTATTTTATTGAGCTGAATCTGTTTTTCGCATTGTCAGCACGATCAGGAGCAGATCAGGAACCCAAAAATGGCAGGGCGCCAAAGAAAAAGGTACATACATGTACGCATTTTGTCCGCATTTACAAGGGTATCCTCGTTTATGCGAACGATCCTCATTCTCAGACCAGTGCCCTTACTGATAACTATAGCACTGCCTCACCTGCTCACTAGGGCACTAGATCGACTATATGTTGTTTCCATTTATGCAGTATCACAGGTCTTTGTGGCATAACATAATATGCAGGGTGCTACAAGAATTTTTTTCACCACTTGCCCTGTCGGGCAAGTGGGTTTTCAATTTACTTGCCCAAACAATATTTCCACTTGCCCAAAACTTTAAAGCGAAAAAGGACTCGAGGTTAAAGCATTTATTATCTCGTAATGATAAGTTAGTGTTTTAGATAGCAAATTAATGCACATACATGTACAGTGTAACTGTACTGAATAATAACCTAATATGTCAAAGAAAATGGTCAACAAAGGATGGTTGAAGGTTTAAAAAACGCATTTTATTGATTCTCCATAAATAATCAGATTCACATGAATCTCGGCAAGGTAGAATGGTTCAAGCAGGTTTAAGTTTTTAATATTCAGTCATGTAAAAAAGCATAATGACCCTGTTGTAAAAAATATGATACAAACATGTCATTAATGGTAGCCACATGTACCATGGTGCAACATCACATGTGTGTCTGTGCAAGCCGCTGTCATTTGGAAACGTAGGCTAATTTTCAGCTGTTAATAATTTGGGTCAACTCTTCCATCAAGAAACGTCATGTAAATAATGGGTAATCAACTATTTTAAATAAAGTACGGACATTTTTATTTCATCATTCACTGCTATAAATATCATGCCAAAATTTGTAAATTCTTACTAAATAATAATATTGAAGATATTTTACGATAAATCTCGGATAAGTATGCGAAAACTAGACTAAACAACGTCGCTAAAACCATGAAAACAAAACAACAACGGCTTATATTCTGGGGGTCTCGATACTATTATCAAAATGACTCGCTCGGTCGGATCTTGAGACCGCAGTAATAAATTGAAAACGAGACAAAAACATTCATCTGATTTATATGAGCAGCGAGTTTTAAATAATATGTTCACAATCATTAACAGTCATTATGAATAAATATCAAACATTTGACTTTTTGTACTTACTAGAAAATCCCTGTTGTTTATTCCATTCCGATTCGCACGTGTTCATTTCCCTAGAATAATGACGTCATATTTGGCGTGATTCAACCAATCGGCAATCAGAGAATAGCAAAGGCCTGTCGGTGCGGCCTGCAGAGCTAGAGAGAGAGAGCGCGAATAAGCTCGCAGCTGGTACGATCGCGCTAGCTGTCTCTAGCTAGCTCACGGCCGGCCGTGCGTGGAGGCGGAGCGGCATTCATGGCTTGAAGTGTCACTGTTGCATGCGCGCTGAGCTAGCTGAGCTGGCTAGCTGTCTGTGAAGTTTTTTCGAAATCGGAACGATCGCTTTTTTGCTTCTGGATTTTGACGAATCGGGCAAGTGATAATTTGATTTACTTGCCCGACGGCTCAATTTGGTTGCCCCGGGACGTCGGGCAAGCGGGTTTGTCCGCGCCCTGATATGTTGATAATCTTTTATTTTTCTTTCAGGTTATTCAGATACTGAAGTCTAAAGCAACATGCCACTGAAGAGAAATCCCTCTTTCCAAGAGGAGCTTTCATCCAAACTGAAAGATCGGAAGAGACGAGGTCTGAGTACTGGCTTTACCTCAGAATCAGAAGACAGTGAAGACGATGATGATGCATTGGGTGGACTCAGCGATGATGGTGAGAAAACAAAACTAAACTAAAAACAACAACAATATTAGAATAAGTATCTATTAGTATTTCCTCCATTCCATGTGGTAATTTCAATTGAATGACTTGTCTCGGGGTCCATCTGAATACAAAGCTGAAGCAAAGGCAATTTTCCATATTCAAACAAAATTGCTTTGGTCTCTACAATGTTATATACATGTATATGCCTTCATGTATCCTGAGTTTTGTGCATTGTTCTTTAATATAATTTTTTTTTTTAGGGTCAGTGCTTCATTGTTGAGTGATCATATGAAGTCATCATAATAACTCATGTTGACAAAGTTTTTATTTTTGTTTTTCACAAAATTATTAAGCCGTTTGCAGCTTAGAAATTTATGAGCTTTGAATTGTGTTCCTATAGCTACCACATGTGAGGTTTTTGCTTTGCTAAGCTTTGCTAAATGTATTCACTGGTTTAATTTTATTTTTGGGGAAAAGTAACCATTTGAATTCAATTTCATATGTTTTCTTCAGATATCCTGTCTCAGTTCACATCTAAGAAGAAGAATCCTCAACCATCTCAGTCCCAACCATGGGCGCCACCTACGGCCAAACAGAGGTCATCCCCTTCACCATCTCCTCGCTCTATGAACAAACCTTCTAGTGATGCCTTCCCTACTGCTCCCCCTAGGAGCAGAGGTCTGTCGGGAAGCAAGAGCCCCACGTCCAGGAAATCAGCAGGTTCACCAGATCCTATCAGGGCTCTCATGGGAGATGGAAACGATATGAAGAAGAAGCCTCCACCCAAACCAAGTCCAAGACTACGTTCAGGGACCATGGACTCGTCTCCTCGATCAGAGGATGATTCCCCAAGACCTCAGCCTAGGCCAAGGAACAAAGGACCATCGGATATTGATAAATTGCTGGGCATTGCTTCATCCCCAGAGCCAGGGAAGAGAAAGAAATCTCTGTTTGATGAGTATGATGAGAGCCAGGGAGCTAAGGGTGGTAAGCAGCCACCTAAACCTAGAGAAAGATCAAAATCTCCCCTTATGGACATGGCAGGGCCAGGCGGAAAGTCTAAGGTTAGAAATGGATCAGCTGAAAGGAAATCGCCTGACCTTGATGACTTGTTAGGCATGAAGAACAAAAAGAAACAAGGGAGGTCTTCCCCAGAGCCTGGGCCAAAACCCAAGAGTAGGAGTGGCTCTCCGGAGAGAAGAGCTAGTAAAGCTCAGGATGATCAACGCAGAAGGGATAATAAATCTCCAGACCTTGATGACTTGTTGGGTTTGAAAGACAAGAAAAAACCTGATAGAAGAGCTGGTGGAGCATCGGATAATCAAAGGAGAAGAGACAAGTCCCCAGACCTGGATGACCTACTGGGAATAAGGAGCAAGAAAAATCGCAGTCCGTCACCAGAGAGGAACCATGGGAAGGAACCGAGATCTGAGATAGATGATCTTCTTGGGGGTCCATCCGTCAAATCAAAACCCAGAAGACAGAAAGGACTATTGGACTCCTCATCTGATGAAGACGATGAAGTGTCACGAGTGAATAACAGATTAGGATCCATGAAACTGAACCAGAAAGAACAGCCCCCAGTTCCAGGGGGTCGAAAGCAAAGGTCACCTTCTCCTAAATCTAAAAGCCTACTAGATACTCTTGCAGATTCTGAAGATGAGGACACTCGCACCAAACTTGGTAGAAGGTCACCTTCTCCTAAAGGTTTTCCACCAAAGCCAAAACCTAGAGTGGCAACAGACAGGACAGACTCAAAGGGCAATAGAGAGACGCAGAAAAAGTCAGACGAAGCCAACGCTAAATCTAGAAAGAACCGGATACCTGGTCTGAACTCTGATTCTGATTCCGATGATGAAGATAGACAGGCAAGGTCCTCGAAGAAAGGCAAGCAGAAACAGTCGCTGCTGGATTTTCTTGATGATAAACCGACAAGCAAAAAGGAGAGGAAGAAGGCAAAGGGGTTGCTGGATGATAGCGATGATGACAGTGACATGGAAGACAAACCTCCAAAGATGACCAATAGGAGACCACAGGTACCCTTTTTGTTTATTGTTCTGCAGCAATATTCATATTGTGCTATTATTGAGCTCTCTTCATATTATACAGTTAAGTCCTGTCTATTTTTCCCTTGTAATTCTTTTTCATATGAATTGACTCATTGATCAATAATAACAAGCAGAATATTTATATTGCACACATATCCATCTTAAAGGTACTATGTCCCATTTGCAGGCCAAAAAAATGAAAAAGGTAAATTCCAACTGCATTTGAAAGATAATACTAATTTAGAACTTCCCTAAAAAAGGTGGGGCTTGAAAATGTCTTCAAGTGGGAAAATAACGACCATTAGTTGTCAAATCGACTTTAGGGCTATAGAGCTCAAAAGTAATAGTCTTGATTTTCAGACAATTGTACCGAATGGTCATATGTTTTATGCTGCGCAGAGATTCAATCAGTTTAATCGTGGCCATCACAAGAAGTGGGTTATTGATGTAGACAAATGCTCATGTACCCATTACAACTCTTTTCATGTATATTATTACCAAAGAAGAAAAAAGCCAGTCAGTCACTCAATAGTGTCTGACAGTGAAATCTAGCAAGTAAACGGGTTTCCTTGCATAATTTGAATATGAGGACACTGCTAACGTTTAAATTTCACAGATAGGACATACATGACATATTCATAATTCCTGCAAAGTTCTACAGAATTTGAGGTTGGCTGCAAAAGGGACATAGTACCTTTAAAGGATGCTCAAGGCATTATCAACCAGCTGACAAGGCAGTTGCCTTAGAAATAGATTTATGTAACATAATATCATAGATTGGTTACCTGTTGTCTATATATCATTGTTTTTACTAACTTTAAACAAATAAACTGTCTTTGCTTGCTCTTCAGGAGGGATATCACAGTGATGGAGAACCAAACAAAGAAAAGAAGAAAAAGTAAGTTATGCATACCACTTTTTGTTACCACAATAACTGTAGGTCCACCAAAGAGGATTAAATGATGTTTGTTTTAATTATGACACAATTAGTTTTCACATGTGCATGTAGGTGTGATAGGTCAAAGGTCATATAACTAAAAAAGAGAATGTTCTTGCTCCTCAGATACTATGATATTTTTTAATGCATTATTTTTGTTTAAACCAAGTGTAGCAAGATTTTTGCCACACTAATCATTGTTATTTTGGTATATCTGTACTGAACCTCGGATTCATACATTTGGTGATATGGATACACTTATAATCGTAAAGGTAGACTATAGCCATATGATTAGAATTGTGAAAGAAAGCAATTGGGAAAGGTTGATTTTTGGTGTATACCGTAACGTTTCGGACTCCTCGAAATGACAGAAAATGGCATGAATGTTTGGTTCAACTTTCATACCTTGGATATCATACCTTGGAAGTAGGCGTAAAGTTATACAAAACTTATTTGCCCCTCTGTGTCCGCTAGTGGGTTACTCTTGAATTTGGTGTCGTGCAGTTATGGATGAACAGGGACAGTTGAATAGTTCATCAGGATTACACTTCTTCTTTTCTTTTTAAAGATATTTCACATCATATTTTGATTATATGATGGCATTTGAAGAGCAACCATTTTCAGGGAATATTTCTTCTATAATATTCATTCACACTGACACAAAAAACTGCACAGAAGTTTGTATGTGGGACTAAATGCACATATGGCATAAAAGTTTGGTCCAAACTTTTTTTTAAAGAAATGTTTCTCATATTTTTTCATTCTGAGGGCATTTGAAGCCGAGCAATCCTTTTCAGGGGACACTTCTACTAATTTTCTTTCAAAAAAGTTTTATGATGATCCCTTTCTTACTGTCAGACCCATAGTTCACAAACCAACTCCTACCAGGCCCAAGTCAGTAGCCGTGGTGGGTTCCCTCAACTCTAGTCACAACTCCAAGGACATCATGGCCACGCTCAACTCTCCGGGAGGGGTGCAGGATTCCTCCACCATCAGGCAGGCCATCTACGAGCAGTGGCGAGCGGAGAAGACGGAGAGACTGAAGAAGCAGAAGAGAGAGGACAAGAAGAGAGAGGAGGAAGAGCAGAAAAAGAAAGCCAAGGTATCGAGAGTCGCTATCATTGCTTTCTCCCTTAAGTTTTTCGTCTTTCCCAGTTAGGATCATAAACAGATAATTTTGGTAGTTTTTAGTCTCATCAGCGCCTTTGATTAGGCAACTAGATATTGGTGCTTTATAAATACCTGGATTGGATTGGAACACAATTATGTGATTTTTGGGGTGCTAAAGGTCAAAGGTCTTGTAACTGTCAGCAAAATCACCAAAACTTAATCGATGGAATAGCTTATAGCTAGGATTATTTCAAAGAGGATGAAGATGTTTTTTCAAGTGATATCCATAGAAGTGTCGTGGTCGAGTGGATATGTCATCGGACTGTGGATCACAAGGTCCTCTGTTCAAGTCTCGCCGCGGCACTAATGTCCTTTGGCAAGACATTTATCTACATTTGCCACTCACCTCCCAGGTGTAGTCAATGGGTACCTGGTAGGAAGAAATACCATGAATCGGTGAGCGCCTTCTCATGGTAGTTCAGCTGAAGTCGAGGTAATAATGTGATAGCCCTCTGAGATTATTGTTATTATTATTACCACATTGAGTTTTATCTTTGCTAATCTGATGAGTTTTCTGTTAGTGAATTTCAGAAGTTGAAAAAATTTGCTTCTATTTATGTCTCAATATCAATTGCACTTATATTTACTTGTGAATAATGGGCTGCTTTAAAGAGGTATGGCAAATTAATGAGAAATTAATCTGATATTCAATTGTTAAATAAAATCTATGAATTAATTAAGCATTGAAGCAAACTTTTTCTTTTTTCTCAGTTTGACCAAGTCACCTCCACTCACATCATTAATTTACCTTTGAATGATCAGAATATCACTGTCATATATGCTAATTCTCACAATACTGCGCTTTTTATTTCATTTACAGGACGCAGAAGAGAATAAGTTTGAAAACATGGCCTCTTTCAAGGCTTGGGAGGAGGGAAAGAAATCAACGCTGTCCAACCAGCGCAAGAGGGCGCTCAAGAAACAGGAGGAAGAACGGAAGAAGAAGGAGGAAGAAGAATCCCAGAAATACGAGGCTAAAAAGGTAACTGGGGTGAAAGAAGAAACTTTAAAGATGCTCTTGCATGGGTATATAGTTGTTTCATGAAGTAGGCAACTTGGCGATAACTCCTGATCACTACTTAACACTGAGCCAATGGGTATTACGCTCCTGTGTGCGTGCACCTCTGTGTATTGCCCTCTATATACCGACGCTTGAGCAACTTTAATAGACATACATTCATTTACTCTTTAGTTATAGTTCCTTGATGACTTTGGCCCTGTTTTTTAAAACTTATTATCAATAACAAGTTACAATAACTGTTATAAGCTACTGAAATCAAGGCATCTGATTTTGCTGAGATCAAATTTGTCATAGAAATTTAGCATTTGTTATTGATAACAAGTTTGATGAATCAGGTCCCTGGGTTGGTATTCTGAGATTCATTTTTATCTCAGTGAGATATATAATAACCTTACAATATTTTTAAATCTGCATTATGATAATCTTTTTATCTTGAGTTTATCTCGCTAAGACACGCCCATTTGTTCAAATTTTACAATTTGTACTACTTGTGCCTCAATGTGCAAAAATGCTTTTGCTAGGGTTTCCTTTAAAAAATGGCTGATGTAGTTTCAGAGGCTTTTGAACACCATCACAAGGCTCATTTTAAGTATGACATTAGTAAGCAAAAATCTTGAAATACAATTTGATAACCCTATAAATGTGTTGCTTGAGAAACGTATTCTGTACTCTGTACCTTTTGTTTATTTTTTATCACGCAATAAGCAGCATACTTTAACATAAAATGTTATTAATTAAGTATTTGGCATCACCTGTGCCTGGGAGGCAAAAAAACAAACTGAAGCACTGTAACACTCAGGTCTCTACTCCCGGTACAACTGATTGGGGGGTGTGCAGGTGGACCACTACACTTCTTATGTGAATAGTGAAGTGGGTTCTTAACGTGCAAAGGCAGTGACTCTCCTCTGCATGTGACCCATTTAAAATCCTATCCTGGGGATGGAGTATTTTCCTCTGTAGATAGCCTGCATCTATAAAACGGGAAGAGCATGTTGACACACATCGCAGACTTTAGTCATCCGCCTAAGTTGGGTTTGAACCCACGACCTTTGCTTCGACAGGTAGATGCTTTACTGACAGAGCCAACAGGGCAAAGATTCTATACTTGTCCAAAACTTTGTCAAAGTGGCTTCATTTATTCCATTTTGCCCTCATTACATTGCAGGCGTTTGAGATGTGGAAAGCTACCAAAGACGAGATTCTCATCGAGAATCATCGGAAAGAAAAGAAAAAGCAGAAAAAATTAGAAGAAACCAAAATCTATGACAAGGAGGACAAAGAGAAGGATGCCAACAGCGCTTTCAAGAAATGGTAGGAATTTCATTGTTGCTTCTTTTTTTTTTTAGGGAGGGGGGGGGGGGGGGGTTGTGTGGTCTGATGTATTTCACAACCAGGAGACCGCATGATGAAGTTAAAGCTAGGAAAACATGTTAAAGAGTTGAGACAGCTTGATAAATCTCACTTAATAGATATATACTGAAGTACGGTTGAATCAAGCAAATGTGCAAGAAACCCAAATTTTAATGTAGATGAAACTTTAAAGCTTACATTCTGCTAGAAATTGATCAGCTCTTTGTTCATATATTAGAAAGGTAGAGTTGTAGGCTATTGGTCACATTATGAAAGAAAGAAAGATCAATATTATTTTGGATTCTGCATTATGGAATGTATTTTGTAAGACCCTCACTTTAGTTAACAAAAATGAAAAAGAAAATGTTTACATGTATATTTATGATCTACAAATAGATGTAATTGACTTTATTGCATTGTATTGTATTGTATTGTATTGTTTAATTTTCATTGGATTTCATATATATGGAAGTAACTTCATGTACAAGACTACTGGCATTGAAGTTCAGTCAGTGAAAAATAAAAGTGTTAAGGGCTGTCCTAACCATCCCCCCCCCCCTTTACATACATCCACTATCCTCAGGAAATCTGTCAAGGATGAAAAGATCATGGACTCTGAGAAGAAGAAGAGGCGAGACGAGCAGCTACGAAAGGAGATGGAGGAACGAGAGAGGAGGGAGAAGGAGAAAGAGAGCATGGAGTCGTATGATGAGTGGGAGGAAAAGCTCCAGAGGAGAAAAGAGAGAGAAAGAAGGAGACTGCAGAGCTCTCAACCCATCTCAGCAACTCCGTTTAGACCCAGCGGAAAGACGATACCCTTCGGGAGATAATAATTCCACTTTTATACAGCGCTTGATACATCTATGATGTGTCTATATTAAAGTGCATTACAGATCTACAATTACCCCGGTCATTGGATTCAGTGCTTGCCCACACACATTGTGTGTGCACAATATCCACTCCCTGGGGAGTATTCGAGCCATGCGTTACTTGACGCTCAAAAACTGTTTGACCAACAAAGACGGTCGCATCCTACCGGGTACCCATTTAACACCTGGGTGGAGAGCAGCAAGTGCAGGTTAATATCTTGCCAAAGGATATAAGTGCCGTGTAGGTATTCAAACCCTTGACCTTCTTGAGGAGTTGTCATTGTACAGTGGTTCTTTATCAAAATTAATGAAACAGAAGAAGAAGATAATAGTGATTGCTTTTATGCTGAAAGAAAGACAATTACTTGATACATTTAGACTAGACAAATAGGATGTAAATATTCTTTGGGGTGAATGGAATCTCAGAATATTCTTGAGGCATTTTACAGGTTTTGGTGTCCCTTTCTGGTATTCAAGCCTACTAATTGTATTCATTGATTGAGAGTTGTGAATAGGCTGATGGATTGATAGATAGGTAGATTTTAGATAGATAGAGATAAATTGATATGATACATGTAGCTGGATAGAGAGAGGGTGAGATATATACCAAGCTCTATACTTATATATTACCGTCCTTTAGCAATATGTACCGACTACCGATTCAGGACCTTAATGACCTCATGTTATGTAGAACTCAGTGTACTTAATGTTGATAGCTATATTCTACCTGTGCTCTTTACTTATCTTTAGTGCAATACAGTAAACAGTGTTCGAACAAATTTTCTCTATTTTATTCAGCTTTCATAATATTTTTTTGCTGTTTTGACTCGATTGTAGTTCAGACAAATGTTGGTATGTGAGGAGCCTATTGAGCATGAAGTGGGGGTGAAATTGTTATTGTCTATATATGTATTTTTGTCTCAATGCTATTACAATGTATTATACCAAACTGCTTTTTTGATTTAACAGGACTTGACTGTTTGAATTAAAGGCGGTAGTCATCACCTTGAAAAGTTATATTCCCAATAATTTTTATTTCAGATACAATGATATTGATAATGAAAGGACGAGTTCAAAATCACCACTTTTCAACGCAAGTACCACAAACTTTGAGTTTTGTCATTTGAATCTTTGTTGTGTTTACAAGCAGTGTCAGTATGTGATCTATAAATCAAAATATTAGCAATCTTTGATGATATTTTGTATGATAGAGACCTATTTTCAACCAAGATTTATTGCTATGTGTACCATGTCACCAAATTTGCAATATCATTGACATTTCATTAATGAGAATGGGTTGCGTGCTCCTACATCTCTTTCTCAGTTATTTTTAGTTAATGAATGGCCCGAGGTGATTACATGTATTTTCAACCAAATTGTACTTTATATTTTAAGCTACATGTACCAGTGAGGTTTGAAGATCAGTGGCCTTGGTTACATGACCTTATGAAGCTAAAGACTTCTTATCTGTTCAATATTGTAATAGTGATCAAAACTGGTTCATATGTAATATTCAGGAGCATTTATAATATTAAAAAAGACTTGTAAACAACTACAGATAAAAAAACACAATTTTATTCTTTGTGGTTGCATTCATATGAAAATTATATATTTATTTACATACTATATAAATTTGTTATGTACAAGGTACAGTTACATTGGGGGAAAAAAAAACGTAATTACCTCTTGAAATCAGATATCAATGACAGAAAAAGTAACTTTCAGTATTCTTAAAACTATTGCAATCCTTGAAGCATATATTTAAAAAAATTACATGATAATAATATAATATTCCAATTTCCAAATGGATAAATGTAAACAGTATTTTAAGTAAAACTAGCGTACTGTTGTGTTGACTACTTGACTAAGATAAAGACTACATCTACATTAAATAAGTAGGAAGGTATTAATATTTTCCAATCCAAGATAATGGAGAACTATCTGTCAAAAGACATTAAACAATGTAAAAAAATACCCATGCTGTAAGTTTCAATTCTATCTCTCGACAAAATTCTGTGAGAGTGAAAATAACCATAGTACTACTCGTATATTGCTGAATTCCTGTATAATTTGACAAAATAGCAGACATTTCAAAAGGAGATTGGTACTGAATAAAGGTGAATTAAAAATATCATACTGTCTTGTTTGTATCTTCATTGGCTAAAGACCTGAAATTTTTCAAGATAAATAGTTTTCAAAAATTCATCATTGCCGTTAAACATGAATTCCTATCATTTTTTGTTGGGGGGGGGGGGTGTCGATCATAACCTCAAAAGCCCTATTCCCACATGAGATGGGAAACTGTTTTTTTTTTAATGACTGCTGCTGAATTAAAATACCAAAAATGGTAATAAAAAAATAATGCATTCAATAATGGCTCGATGCATAATACAAGATCTGTGTGTCTTATGCAGATGCATTTTTTTTGGTATCAGCACTCTGATCAGTGTACAGTAAAAGGAGACGGAAAACTGCTATAAACAAACGGGCCGCTGCTAAATTAAAACCCCAATGAGTAGTAAGAGGGAATGTTATGATGGTAGTTTTTAAAAAAATACATTCAATAATTGCTCGGCGCATAATACCAGATTTGTATGTCGTAGTATGCACATGTATGAAGTACATTGTGATCTCATTTCTTTAAATTTTGCAACTAGTCTAGTAAAGGTTGCTTTTCACCAAATATTAGAATAGAGCTTGAAAGTGCAATCTTTAGGGCAGGTGTTGTCAAACTCAGCATCTCAGACAGCCTATTTTCCTACATAAGGTATCCTAATTTGTATAGCAAAACATTGCAAGTACAATATGTGAAAAGGATGTTGTGTAGTTCTTCCATATTTTACTTTGGAATTGCACTGCATCATGAGATGGATATCATAAAAATTGGCATTAAAGTTAATGATATTTGTTCAAGTATAAAAAGGAAATTCAGTAAAAACAATGAAATAAAAGTGATTGTATGAGCTCTTACAAGCCAATAAACAACAGACACAATGTGCAGTAAAGTTTTTATTACAAAAAGCATGCATTTTCTGTAAGTAACCTGATTACGGTAGTCACTTTTTTTTATAAATATGAATTGCATTTTTGCTCAGGAAATGTCTGGAATATAATCTGGAATTCATTTCAAAATGCAAAAATACAGTAGAAGCATTCATACAAAGAATATTTGAGGGCAAATCGTAAGCATATTATACATATTGTCAGTTATATTGTGAAACAAATCTCCATTATCAATTAATAAATCCATTGTATGATCTTGTGCAAAACATTATAGAATGTTCTGGGCCATCAAGTGTTACATTCTTTTTAAAGTTTATGAGTATAAACGCCCTTGCAGCTCGAAAAACAAATGAAAACAATCATGTTCCTAATCATTGTATTTCAAAATCTTGTACGGCAATCCTATAGTATTCCAGTATCTGATCACATCTGAACGAGTCCTTCAGCGGCAGCGATACCAAAGAGGAACCCCTCTGTAGCTGGTGGTAGCTTCCTCCCTTTGAGTCTCTCCAGGGTGATCTTGGGATCGTCTTCGTTCTCTGAGAGGGATTTCAAGTTGTTTATCAGCTCACTGGTCTTCTTGGAGATTTCCTGAGAGGCAAAAGAGGAAGAGAGGTGGAATTGTTTGAGGAGGAGAGCTGGCTCAGACTGGACAAAAGTCCAACCAAAGACTGCAGGTTTTATCTCATCACAGAATATGTCCCAAGCAGAAATCTCTGCTCATCTGGTACTAGACAGTTAACAGTTCTAAGAACTATGTCTACTCTTGGAGAAAAGGCTTTTATTTCTGAGGCGCCATCTCTTTGAAATGCCCTTCCACTGAGGATCCGATCAGTAGAATCCTTAGAAACATTTTAAAAGAATCTAAAGTCATATATGTTCACATGTTAATTTAGTTAATGGTATGTTGCATGTATGATACCGGTATATGCATTTTGTTCTCATTTCTCTATGTAACTTATTCTAATTCTATCCCTCTGCGCCTCAGAATAGTTTACTAGACCGATTGGCGGATTGCGCATAACAAATGCTGTATTTCTCATTATTATTATTAATCGAGCCAAAACAGAAGACTGCAGCCCAAATTGTGTATTACAGCGCCCCTCCCCTGTTCCATAGACACAGCTAGGTTAGATTGGGGAACACTTCGTCCCTTGGATATGGTGTTAAATGGTGGCTCTTGTGTAGGAGAGTCACCACCTATGCTCATTAAGAACCCAATGCACTATCCACATAAAAGATTGACGAACCCCAGGTTTAGCGGTACAACTGCACATTCCCAATCAGTTATATATGGATGAGAGAAGAACTGAAAGATCGTACCTTGATGACTTGTAGATCTGACATGGCATCATCACTAGCGCACTTGACCATCAGCTGGGCGATGTCTTTGTGTGTTCTACTCATGGTGAACGTGTCTAGAGAGAAAAGAATCCACCTGATTTGTAAGTTCCACTACAAAATGCCCTGGTAGAGTGATTTTTTCAACCGATATTCAAACAAAAGGTTGAGGGTTCAAATCCCTTCCGGCTAGATTTTGATTTACGTTTGCCACTCTCCAAGCAGGAGTAAATGGGATACCTGGTGTGGATAAGGACTACATATTGAGCCACCTGGCTATAACTGGGGTAATGATTCACTGCAAATTGTTTTGATCAGTTTCTTGCTGGCTAGAATGGTGTTAAATTAATTGTTGTTAGGTTGGAAAACCTAGGACAGGACAAACTACCTAACAACACGGAATGTATGCCATTCACATTCTGACTATTGAAATACAATTATTTGTAACAAGTGCACTTAACAAAGATTTGTGCATCCAATTTGATTACATTATGAAATTGGCCTATTGTAATAACTTACATTAAACGTCACAACATTTCTCTAACAAATAAGTTGGTATTTCAGGATCTTGCAATGATAAAGTATCTTGCTCCGGGTCTAAATAAAGTCTAGACCATGATTAGATTTAAAGAACTTCAGAAAATCAGTCAACATAATTTGCTTTGTTCACAATAGTACCTTTGGCATTAGGTGCTACTGTTATTTCGTCGGTTGATAGATTCACAAACAGATCGTATAATTCAGTGGCGTTCTCCACGGCCGCGTCTACAAAGCCAGCGACGTACGCAGGCCCCATCCTGAGATCTTCTAGTTCGTCTTCTTCCATGTGTACGTACGGGTGAAGGATGGACCAGTTCTGCCGATGCCACACCAGGCAGGGTAATGCCCTAAAAGAGGAGGGGTTATTATACAGGAGAAAAATAAGGCTTGTATAGGCCGATGATGTCAAACCGGGGGTGTGTTTCACAAAGATACTAAGTTGGACTTAACAATTATGGAAAGCCAATAGCATCTTTGAAAAAAAAATCTAAAAGTTATTTTAAAAGGCACAAAATATTGATTCAAATCATTCATATTTTCTATTATCTAGTAGATTTCATGTTCTTGATGTGGAATTTATGAAAAGTCTTAAATACTTGAATTTTTGCTTTTGAATATAACTTATTTTAAGGCTACAATTGGATCTCCATAATGTTTAAATCAAACTTAGAGTTAAGTCCAAAACACCCCCCTGGTTCACTTGGTCCATTGATTAATAGAAGACCCTGGATTGACTTCATCAACCCTTCAAATGTCACAAACAATAATTACGACAAAAATTGAGACAACTTTTAGAAAGGCATAGCGCTTTTTACATTGATGGTTTCATTATTAATTTGGTAAACTTATTCCTTCATTTCATTATTATGATTATTTGCAAGTTCAAAAGTAATGGATATACTTCAATAATTTGGGCAGTTTAAAATTGACACAACTTTTAGAAAGAAGGCATATCGCCTTTCACATTAATAGTTTCATTATTAATTTGGTAACCTTATTCCTTCATTTCACAATTCAGGAGCTCATTTTTAATGTAAGGTTTGTTCACGTTCAGAAGTAATGGATACAATTTAATAATTTGGGCAGTCTAAACTGCCTCCAGCGCTGAAGTGACAGACATGGAAAATATAGTGATATGACAATGAATAGTCTCCGTATTTTAGGATAGACCATTGACAGGTTCTGCAAGCTATGCCATAACAGACAAAGAAATACTTTGAAAGGAGTGAGATACACAAGCCTGCTTTAATAGTTTGTAGAGTTTAAATAAATCTCTTTAATCACCATCAAATCTTCCAGTAATTTTAAAATCTTGCTCAAACTGTGCAGACACTATCCACTATCTGTAAATACTACAAGGAATGTGGTCATACATAAAAGAAATGAAGTTCACCGCCTCTTGTGTGTCCACGAAATATATCAATAAAGACGACCATCCCCTCTATACCAAGATGTGAAGTAATTAAAAGCTTACCTTATGAATTTAATGACCTCTTCTACTCTAGAGTGGTATACAACTATCTTCTTCTTCAACAGTAGAGCTGTGTAGATGAGGATGGTTTCTAGACCAAATGAGTTGATAACATCTGAAAAATAAATAATGGAAAGTACCGGTAAAGAATGCACTGATCATTATTTTTTTCTTTTAATTATGACGTACATAATCATAAAAACCGTCTCATTTCATTTCAGCAACATGGGGGAAGTACACTATAGATGATAAGATCTACAGATGGATAAATAATCAGTTTGCTATCCATTGATATTTTATCTGTTGTACATATCAATATCTTATGTTGTCAAGTCAATTCACTTTATGTAACCATGAGATATTTTGGAGTGCATATGCAAGTAGTTGGTGGAATTCTATCTATCTTATGCTTGAAATAACGAATTCGGGAAGTTCCATGTAAAATTGGTTGTCAGTTACAATGCTTTTGTTTTCAAGTCTCTTTTTCAAAGCAATGCATATAGATTAAAAACAGCCATACTTATCTACAAGGTAAGGTTTCAGAGGAATATTAAAGGGGGTGTAGCATGGCAAATACTAGTGAACGCCATCTCAACTTTTGGACAACTGCACGTAAACAAATGGACTTGATTAATGATCAGCGCACGCTAGTTCTCCTCACGCTTTGGTTTCGCATATGTTGCACACACGTGATTACTGCGGTCGCTTCGTCCGTAATTGATACCCGATTTGCCCCGAGTCAGGCCGAGGGAAAGACATGTAGACTCGTCATGCAACACACCCTTTAAACTCACTATCTTGTTTCTTTTTTTTTGCCTACCAGCCTGTCAAACCACCTTGAAATAACTTTCATACATGTGTACTTCAAAGAAAGTTGGGTAGCAGGCTTACCCCCACACTCAAAAGATAAATTCACTTACCTTTTACACAACCAGCTGTGTACGCCTTCTTTGCATCAAAGTCTTGGGCGACAAAGGTTCCATTGCTTTCACTGGGGCAAGTGCCTTTGTGATGACGGAGAGGTAGCCCTTCAAGATTGTGGCAGCATTCCCTGTTGTCAGGTATACCCTACATAGGATCTCGCTCAGGTATGGTATTTCTCAGGATTGAAGTCTTTGGCAAGTAAAATGAAGGAGAAGTGCTTTACCTGTATTAATAATAGAGATATAATGTATGATCACTTAGAGCTATAGATCTCAGAAATATCTCTGTATCTCTCTCTATATATCTCATAACAGTCAAACAAAATAAAGCTCAAAGTCAAATAACTGAATTAATCTATTTTTCAGAGTGGACAATTAGTTGTAACTAGTGGAAATGGTAAAATATATATATATATATTAAACAGCAAAAACTAATTAGCTCATTTTAAGATCATATATATACAATATTTAGACTCTATTTGAAACAGTTCAAAGATTCAAAGTATAAGGATACAATAAATAAATTTGACATCTGAATAAAATTGAACCACATCATAAAAAATTAAAACAATTATTAAAAAATTGACTTTTTTTTATGTTGGAAAAAATGGGAAAGTAGTCGGGCACTACATCACATTGATATTACTGCTTCAGCAAATTTGAAGTGCCCATACGTCTAGAGATCGCAACTTTAACAAATTCATAATTTTTGTCTAATTGAAAATGTTATTAGTTTGCTTCTCTGTTTTTTCTGCTTTCTTTTAGAATAGTTGTCTATTTGGGTTGGATTTCCTGTTGAAAGCTAGAACACTATGACATCATATTTGGTGCTCTCTTAACTATGAACAAAGGCTCTACAAATTCTCAGCATCATTCTGCGTCTTATTACCTTCTTCAGGGCAGATCCATATTCCACAGGCACGGTCATGATGTAAAACCACTCCCTGTGAAACTGACCGTAGACAAACGGTACAACGATGGCTCCCTCCTGGGAAAGGCAGCATTTTCTCATCAGCATCTTCTTCTATGTCGCTGGAGATTGAGGGTACGACCACGTCCACAAGACATCCCCATTGGTGTCTTTTTCTAAATGAGAAAAAATAAGAAAATAGCCCATGGATATATTAGTTAAAATGCAGGATTTGTTAAAGAGAGAATGACAAAAGACAAAAGTTTGAACTTTGAACTGTGCCCCTTGCTCTGGTTATATTGATTGAAACAGGCTGCAAATGAAAAACAAAATTCTTTCATATTTTCATAAATATGATTGTAGACCCTTTAGTCTTACCCTAGTCTAAACTTGTGAATTTCAATCTAAATTCACCTTTAAAAAAATGTGAATACATGAGTGATCTGTTTCTGTTACAGTAACATTAAGATTTTGGAGCATGTTTAGGTCTATTCAAATGGATTGTAAAATTGAAAATGATTTGTTATATTATATTCTTTTTCATGTGATTTTAACTCCAATGAATTGTGAAATTTCGAACATGCATGCATGCATAAATAAATATTTAAAAGTTAGTGTTTTCAACAATAATTTATTCTTCTCCCGCTTGACATTTGAAAAAAGTGTAAGATGTAGATCTAGATCTATAGGCAAACAGTTTGTAATTGTTATCGCTAATGTGTGTATGAGGTCCATACAGTTAACGGTTAGACCTCATGCATTATACTAAGGAGTGGCTAATTATTGAGATTTTCACAAATTTGTTGTGACTTTAATAAGACCTAACTTAAATTTTAAAAGTCTTAATTTTTGTGATCGTCTGGGCTCTGGCCACTTTAATCAATTTTCAGGAACAATCAATACAATTTGTTAATAATCAATAGGTTTCATTCATGAAATTAAACTGCAACTTACTATACTGTACATGTAAGTCGTAAACAATGTCAAATCATGTCAGTTAGGTCTAGTTATCAGTGTATGCTGGTGTCAACATCATATTCATAACGGCCACACCATGCACCAGCTACATATCATATTTAATGTGTGTTATGAAAGAAAGATAAATAAACTTGAAACTTGAAACTTGAAACTTAGTATTCAAAGCTAATCTAGATCTATACTGATATTACGATCACGGCGCGGCTGGTCAAACAAATAATGTTTATTACAACGAAAAATCGAGTACATGGGACTGTACATTATTATATAAACCCTCTCATCTTCCATTTAACTCATTTCACTTCAGAACGTTGTATTTTCTTAAATATTTGGCTACATGACATAAATACGAGATTTAATGAAGGGCATCGTTCATACCTATCAATCCTGCAGCAGAGAGAGAAATAAGGGCTGACATTCTGACTTTTGATGCCTAGGATTTAGACGCTCATTCGCTCCTTTTTATCGGATCCTCGATTTACGATAGTGTGTGGGCGCGCGCGGGCGTGCCCAAGAGCGAAGAGTCGATCTTGGATCTTGGATTCTTTTCCTCCTACAGAAGAGTTTTGACTGGAGGCAGTGGCGGATCCAGGGGGGGGGGGGGGGGGGCCCTTGAGAAAAAAATCATGTAAATTCACGTGATTTTTACCTTTTTAGGGGGTTGGCCCCCCCCCCCCCCTGGCGCTCAAGGGGGGGGGGGGTGCAAATTGAAAAATTTTCGAGGACCAAAAAAAAAAAAAAAATTGCCCACTACCCCCCCCCCCCCCCCCCCCCCCCCCCCCCCCCCCCTCAACTGAGCGACTTTTCGACCGGCGCGATTTTCAAATTTTCGGGAGCAAAAAAAAAAAAAAGTTGGGCCCCCTCCCCTAAGAAATCCTGGATCCGCGCCTGGAGGTGGTGGAGGGTGGACGATTACATTAAATGCTTTCCCATAGTCTCATTCATTTTCAATAGAAAACGACTGATAAATTGTGATCACTTTTCTTTCATCTGTTTAACAATGCAAAATACCTTCCCTTATAGCAGTGTTGCATGGGTCGAAAAGGGCCACTGCGATTTGTTCCAATTTGGAGGGGGTCAGTGGCTGCATAATTTTATGATGATGCCTCCTAGTCGATTTTTAAGAGTAGGCCTACTGTTATTTGGCAGGAAAGGATATTAAGAGAACATATTTTGGACATTTTTTGAATGAAAACCTATACAACAAAAAAAAAATCAATTTTCGAGAATTTAAAGCTAGGGTAAGGTACTATACTGAAGAAAATTGTATTTTTCAGGCCAAGATCTAAAAGTTGGGCCATTTTTAGTAGGGTTATTTTAGGGGCACGGCTTATCGTTCTCAGTGATGTGTGTTACTATGTCAAATAGGTTTTGCCAGGGGTGTATTATGCCCCCTTTCTATCTTTCTCTTTCTCTCAGGCTCATTCCTATAAAAAAACGACTAAAGACGTTTTACTTAGTTTAGCAAAAACTAGAAGTAAAAGACTAATTTAAACAAAGTATGGAATTGAATGCCGATCCGTTTTGTGAATAGTATTTTTATTCTTCAAAGTTCTGGGGCATTTGTTGTGTACAATCTACAAATAGCAATTGTATTTAAAATTTGTGTCACTATTATTCAAAATTAGACCCCGAACTGGCTCCTGAATGCTATCATTCTTACATTAACTAACCTCCCGAGGGAAGCTTGCTAGCTAGGTTTCTGTGTCACAGAGATTTCCTGCTGAAATTAACCATCCATATTTTTTATAAATAAATACTTATTAAACCAAACTTAAACAGATACCTATATTTCAATGAAACAAGATCACACTCACGTCCAGGTGAGTGTGGCGTTGAACTAGGCGTTGTGGCGTGCGCGCCTGTAATCCAGCTAACAGTGGAAGTTAAAATGATTCAGCCAAGGACGCAGGTTCGATCGAAACTGAGTCACGTCTTTCGGATGGTCCCCAGACGTAAATAATCATATCTGATTGATACACGTCTGTAAAAAAAAACCAATTACACACTACACACTCCATCCCATCCACAAAATCACATCTCTCTCTCTCTCTCTCTCTCTCTCTTTCTTTTTACATTATACCATGTAGGCCTACATCTCCCCCTCTCTTTATATCACTTCAGAATAACAACTCGTCCTACTCCATTTTAATTGCCTGAATGATAATGCGTCATTTTATTTTCAAATTATATTTCGCTCACATTTTCTGTTGCTACATAATTATTTGCTGTCCTATAGGGGTCATGTTCTGATACATTGCACTAGTCTTGTGGCTATATGAAATTCATCTGTAAATATGTATAGCCCTATAAACTTAAAGATCAAAATGTTGTGACTCGTGAATCTAAGTTTTGACATAGGTCGGACGTGAGAAGAAGAAAAAACTTGGGTAGACCTATATAGTTACGTTTGATCGAAATAAATCAAATAAATATTATCCTTCAAGCCCTCCAATGCAGACTATAGTGAGAAAGGCCAAGTCTTCCTGCTGTGTATGTATACAAAAATAAATAAACACTGTGAGTGAAAATTTGAACGGAACTAATATTATATAATATAATAAATTATGAGGTATTTCGTTAGAAAACACAGATTATTTGTGTACACAGTTTAAGTTTAATCTCAGAAGGCTTTACCTATTCTCTTACTGTCCTTTAAAGATATTTTTTTAGAGTATATGCATTTTTGTAATCTAACAGGCAATATTTTTATGTAGGTTTTATCTTTTACTTGAACTCGATAAGAGAGAGAGTTCTTAATACCGTTGAACCTTTCAAGGTACTCTAATATACATTTACTCTGGCGAGTAAGGACGATGATTGCCGCCGCCAGAGAATGATATTGTACAACACGTTAAGTACTACGGCACCGGCAACAGCCTTGCAGGAATGTTTGAGCTGACTCTGCGCAGGAATATCGACGTGGCCGACATCAGCTCCTTGACACCAGACACCGATGTACCCGATCTCAAACACGGATTCACCGTCGGGGAGGATCAATTCGATGTCCGAGTCCCCCGAGTAAGCAACGAGGGGATCACTGAATTGTGGACACAAAAAATCGTAAAAGGAAAACAATGACTAAAGCATGTATACAGTGCCTTTCGTGAAAGATGAAGGCTTTCCCGGTTTCTCCAGTAATATATTTATAATCAACAGTATGAAGATACTTCTTGAAGAGAGTTTGAACATGAAGTGACAATGGCATAACATGAGCGTATAGTCAGCGTTTCATGTTGGAGGAACATGAATGTTCAGATACAAAACCAACATTTCTAAATTCTATCTGAGTATCTGCTGGTATGGATTCTTGGACCAAGCATTGCTAGCTATATTGTACGGTTTGGGTAATCCGACATTTACTCCGGGGCAATCGCTTCGGACTTTACTTCGGGTAAGGGATCATTCCAAATCCTCACAGTTTGTATAATAATATCAATTTTGCTTTCTCTTCCTTTAACTTAAGGGCCCCGTAATCATAATACCTCAGCAATATTATTGTCAGGTATACCCATTTATACCTGGGTGGATAGTGGCAAATGTTGACTAATTTCTTGCCAAAGAATGTTGGTGTTGCGACTCCGATTCGAACCCTCGACCCTAGGATTGAAAGTCAAGTGAATAAACCACTATACCACGACACCTATATACGGTCTTCCTGCAATCTGATTTTCGAAGAAATAGCAAATAATATTATAATTATAGATATGGATATCTAAATAAACATCATCATGGTCATCTTTCTGAGTTAGGTTCTCAAGATTGATAAGAATACTAACAACCGGAGGTTTAGTGCATTTAAGCCTTTTAAAATCCGAATCGGCTTCAAGTCGTAGACAATCGCATGAAGGGAATTATGAAAGCAAATAAAAGTAGGAAAGTTATGAATTGTTCATCAATGAAACACAATTTGGCAACACTGCGACGTATCTTGCAAGCTCCTCTCCAATTTGCTTACTACATAAAGATGTCATAAACTTTAATTTTGTTAGTTATTGATGACGGAATAGACTTGTTTCATACAGAGGTTGTTTTAAAACGTATTTGCAATCATTATATGTTTGGTGAATGTATGATTGAAAATTTTCTCAAGGGAAAATATAAATGTTTATTTATTTATTTTTTTATTTTATTTTTTTAATTATTTTTAGTACAGGGCAAATGGGAGGGGACCTCTCGCAAATACATAACAGAGTTGCCGATTAGCCTTTGGTTGATCGCAACTTCACATAGCCTATTAATAACTTTCTTATAATCGGTTTTTGCTCAAACTTTCACTGTCCTGTTTCTCTCTTTTTTCAGCTTCGTAGTCGAGTGGTTTAAGCACTTGACTTGAAATTCAAAGGTCGTGGTTCGATCCCCGATACGGCACTAATGTCCTTTGGTAAGGCATTAATCTAATGGGTACCTGGTAGGAATTCATTCCTTGAAATGCTGAAGCGCTGTAACGGCAGCTAGGCTAAAGCCGGGGTAATTAATGCGCCTCGGAATAGAAGTTCTAGATAGATGGCGCTATAGAAATGCCTATAATTATAATAATTATTAATTAACTCAATATCAGGGTGGACATCCCCTTCAAAGGTTTACCGTACTTACTCGCTGTTATGCTCATTCCTGACAAAGTGTCCACTGCTGGATGGTGTCGAGCCCGTTCCCGCCCAGAACCGTGCCCCTGCAATGTTACAAATCAAATCAGTAATACTGGAGGAAAAATGCAACTAATCAAAAAAAACTAAACGATCAAATATTTATGAAAGTACATAAGAAGGAACAAAACGGGTGCAAATTAATGACCAATCAAAAGAGAACACCAGATTATTGGATGACGAAGAGAGTGCACATATATCTTAATGGCAACCTCAAATAAATTATTATACACACCAGCTCGTAACCTTTGCTAAGCAACTGACAAATATACACTAATTATTCCCTTAAAACATACTTCTTCCCTCAGTAACTTAATGCAATTTTATAAGTCTATATATTTCCTGTTTCTTTATCAGATTCTTTGATTTTATAAGAGCTATACACTCTTTTTTTCAGCGCTCAGTGATTATTGCTTTATTTCATTAAAAAATATACTATAGGGTTATAGAGTATAGGTTGCATGACTATTTCCGGTTATTTTTCTTTAATTTCACCCAAATTTCATCGAAATTACTTAATTTGGGGGAGTAAAGGAGTACGAACTCAGACCCACCACATGGTCCTTAGCCATAATAGCATGCCAGATCACTAATATCGACGCCCCCCCCCCACCCCCTTGCCATGCAGACATTGAAGTGTCGGGTAGAGTAATCGAATGTTTTCCATTATACCGTATAGGGGCATAATACTTTATAGAGCATTACCGCGCTACATGTTTTCTAGATGAAGAAACTTAAAGAAAAAGCGGGGGGTGAAAACAAAACAAAATAAAACAAACCAGAGCATGAACCGTCGTACTGTAAACCTTCGAATCTCAACTTCTGATCATTCACAATAACAACGGAGGTAGCAGAGAGCCCGTAGGATCCAGAGAGTTGCCCGATATTGTGTTCTGCTGGAGATGCAAAATTGGCAGGCACCGCGAGGTGGTTGAAATTAACCTGTCCAATGGAACAAAGAAATTATTTTTGAAAAAAGAGAAATACGGAAGACAAAATGTATCAAAGACGTTCATGTATAAAAGGTTTTACCATTCTTGGAATAAATTAAAACAATAACATTATTTGCATATAATGAGAATTCACTTTACACTACTTTGCCATCGACAACTAATAATGATTATCACCAATCATTTTACGTTTATATGGCGCTTAAAGGGAAAGTCCACCCCAAAATAAGTTTGTTTCGATAGAGGCAGAATAATAAGAAAATCAGGTGAGTGAAAGTTTGAGCAAATTCTGAATGAAAATAAAAGTTATGAATTATTGAAGTTGTGATCAATCAAATACAAATTGGCAACTCTGTGACTTATTATACGAGCTCTCCTTCATTTGCTTTGTGCATAATATTCCATAAAATCATGTTTTCTTCGTTATTGATGACGGAATATATATTTGTTCCTTGCAGGGGGAGTATAGAAACATATTTGCAATTATTATATTTAGGGTGCATGTATGGTTGAAATTTTTCTTGAGGGAAAATGAAAATTTTAGATTTTTTTAGTACTGAGCAAATGGAAGTTGAGCTCGCATGATACGTCATAGAGTTGCCAATTTGTGCTTGATTGATCACAATTTCAAAATCCTAACTTCCTTATTTTTAATCGGAATTTGCTCAAACTTTCACTGACTTGTTTCTCTCATTTTTTCTACTCCTATTAAAACTAACTTAATTTCAGGGTGGACTTTCCCTTTAATATTCACATTGTTTCTAAGCGCTTTACATATTACATGCAATCTTTCTTGCCGGAACGGCAAGATTTAAAATTATATATGGAAACAATTATTTTCGGGAACTGGCAGGTAAAACAAAGAACCTTTTTTGGAAAGAAATGTTCATGGCTTATAGTACGCTCTTGTCCCATGCATCATGATAAAATTTCTTGCCAACCCTTATGGAATAATTATTACATTAAAATAGGCAATAGCTCAATATATAATTAAAAAAAATTGTGTCAAAAGGGAGTTCGTTTTGTTAACAATATTTTAGACACAAATGGTGATTTTTTTCTCTCTGGAACACTTTCAAGAAAAGTATAATATTCAAATAAATTTTCTTTTTTATCGTGGATTATGCGATGCAATTAGACAAGGGTTTAACAATTGTACTATTTTTAACAAGATGCCACAACCTCTTTTCCCAGATACAATGGCATTTGTTATGAAATGTATTAAATGATCTTCACATATCTATGCAATAAGAAGAAAAGGACTATGTAAAAGCTTTCTTAAATGGAAATGCATTTTTGACCTGAATGATAAGAGTTTGGAAACATATTGTTCTATTGGATTTAATTGTACCATTGATGTGGGCTTACGATGGTTTCAGTTTAAAGTCTTGCAACGCATATTATATACGAACGATCTACTCTTTAAAATGAATTTAGTCCCAAGAAAAGAATGTACATTTTGTAATGAACAGATTGAAACAGTTATACATTTGCTATGTGATTGTATGCATGTTAAAAATATTTGGGGTAGGTTAGAACACTGGATTAATACTGGAACCGGAAATAAATTAACATTTTCATTACAAGATAAATTATTTGGTTTAAAAGGTTCAAATAATTATGCATTGAATTGTATACTGATTGTGGTGAGACAGATGGTGTATACTTGCAAAATAAAGAAACAATTGCCCGACTTTGATAGTATTAGAGTTTCGATTATAAATTACTTCAAAAACGAAAAGTATATTGCAAATTCGAATTGTAGAAATAATAAATTCACAAGAAAATGGTTTTCAATTCAGGAATTTGTTTACTTAGAATGATATTTTTTTCTGTATTTGTTTTTCTTTCCATGAGTGTTCAAGTTAGAAATGAATTATTGATTTGTTAGTTTTCTGTTAACTCAACAGCTCAACAATACTTGTATCTTGAAAAGCCAATTTTATTTTATTTATGTTATTATGTAAATTACCTTGAATATATATTTTTGTATGTGTTTGAAATGAAATCAATAAAATCCCTGTGGAGGAAAAATATGAAGGGAAAAAAATATTACTTACACGAAATAAATGAAGAAAATTAACGCTATCAACATAATATCAGGGACAGGTAGATGAAAACAATAGTATTAGGTGGAATTGTACATAGACAAAGCTAAACAAATTACAAAACATAATTACAAAAGAAATATTTTGGAATCTACCACCGGGAAGATGCTTAATCAATAAACTGGTATATAGAACGTTATCATGAAACTTTATCAGGATTGGATGTTTATAACGGTCTTTATTTGTTTTTATCTTGATAATAACGGTCCTTATGGCAGTTAAGGTCTGTCATAGGGTAAAGGTTCCACCAGGTGTATGGTTAATTGTATACTCACACTGTATCGCCTGCACCAGATAGCGATCCACTTCAAATCTGAGACCGACTTCCCGGCAGGTAGAGTCAGATCCCCGAGAGTTGCATCGCTCATCGCATTTTCCAGCGTACTGCAGTCAAGAAAATTAAATTTAGTTTCCCAGTGTAGATTTGAAAACGATTGCTGTTGTTGTATTTTGGTATCCAATAGGGATATAGGTCTAGGCAGGCGCGGATACACCTTCTTTCTCCCTCTTTTCTTTCCTTTCCTTTCCTTTTTTTCAGAGGGGAAGGGGGCCAATTTACGCTCCACCTCAGACTCCCCCCTGTCCACTCATGTTTTCTAACGAACTGCCCCTCCCCCCTCTTCGCCGTAATGATGATGCTGGTTAAGATGGTGATGCTGGTGATGTTGATGACGATTGACTACTACTACACCTCCTACTACAACTACTATTACTACTACTACTACTGCTACTACTACTACTACTACTACTACTACTACTACTACTACTACTACTACTCCTATCATGCACTACTACTTTAATAATAAAATAATAATAAAATAATAATAATGTATCAACAATTCATGTATTAATTTTGATGATGATGATGATGATCCTGGCTACCTTTTTATCCAGCGATAATTATTGCTCAAGGCTTTATATCGTCAAATTAGGCCTAGTGTGAGGTGATGATAAGGTTGGGCTTATAGGATTAGGGCTCAAATAGTTTATTTCTCGCTGAAAGACACAGATAACCATTGACTCATAAGTTTTGCCCCCCCCCCCTCCCCTGCCCCCCCCCCCCCCCCCCCCGCCCCACGAGGTCCAAATACGCCACAGCAATGGAGAGGGGGAGGTATAGTTGGCTGACACCTGGACCGTCATAAGTACAAGTTCACTGACTTCCCATAATGCTCACTGTAATAAATGCGTTATATACAAAGAGATGTCGGTGCACCCATAACGATTATGAAACAAAAGCACGAATATGCGACATGTGAACATTAATTATCTAGATCGATAAATTCTCTCTGTTTAACCTTGAAATGATAACTGTGGGGTGTGAAAACTCAGTCAGTGCGCGACGATTCAATATTACAGCGAAATAAAGTGGCGAAGGTACGAAATCGAGGGCACGGCCTGTATGGGGATACGTAATCAGGGGCGGATCCAGTCGGCGACAAGAGGGGGGGGGGGGGGAGGGCCAAATTCGTGAGAAAATATTAAGTGGCGAATCGGCCAGCCGGCAAACAAGTGGGGGAGCACTTTTTTTTGGGGGGGGGCGAACAAAAACAACCCCGAAAAAGGTAAAAATTTACGTAACCATTTAAATTTGTTACCTCTTTTTTTTGCTAGGGGGGGGGGGGCGGGCCCGTCTTGCACCCATTGTGGATCCGCACCTGTACGTAATCCAATCAGATTGGAAGGAAGGGTACAAACCTCTTTTATGAACCTCTCTTACATACTCCCCCTAATCGTGACCTTGATAATAATTTTTGTTTTTAATTAAGCGATTTTACCAGTTACAATCGACCAAAGCGCTAATGGTTATAAACCCGGACACTGGATTTTAGCTACTGTTCCACACATTACAGTGCACATTCTCCACTCCCTGGGTAGTACTCCAGCTAATCGCCATTTTACGAGCACACACATTACTAATCCATTCTCAATGCCCTTCGCATCTTATATACCGGATACATAATCCCGCATCTGAATGGGTGGAGAGGAGCAACGTATACATGTAGATAAAATGCATTGCAGAATATCAACATTTATTGCTGTAAACCGGGCTCGAACCCACGACATTTGCATTAAATTGTCAGTGAAGTCAAACTATCACACAGCAACGAAATCTCTAGGTAATCTCATTGATTCCAATCTCATTTATATATAAGACCGACGCCTACCCCCTCCCCCACAATACCAGTACCCCTCCAATTCATAGAATCACGATACGCCATTGGTGAGATGTACATCATACAATTTTTGTACCTTGAAATTGGAAAACCACTTCCCGAAGGTGCACTGCCGGTCTCTCCTCCCCCTACGACGGCATCTGACAAGTTAAACAAAAGGCACGTACACAGAATTTATTTCAAAAATTGAAAGGAGGGGGGGGGGGGGGGGTGTCAAAAATCGATACAAAACACAGATAATTCATCATGATAGGTATTTGTATGTATCTGACTCAAACAGTAAACATCTTACCTGAAGACAAAATCTTTTATTCCTTTTATTTTCGGAATGATGAACCCCTGGTTTGGGAACTTTTTGTTTCGGCATTATGAATGTTCGGAATTATGAAAATTCGGAAACACGAGTCCTACCCTTTTGTTTTCGGAATTATGAACCCTGATATGGGAAAATTTTGATCTGAAATAACCCTCGAACTCTCGTTATATGGAAAATTTGTACTTCGGAATTATGAACCTTAGAAAAACGAGTCCTTCCCTTTCGTTTTCGGAATTATGAACCTCTGGTACGTATGGGAAAATTATGATCTGAAATATGAGAATTTCGCATTAACGGTCGAGTGACCCTTGAACCTCCTGTTATGGGTTTTTTGTTGTCTTCTTCTCGGAATTATGAACGTTCGGGACTATGAAGCTTCGGAAATGAACCTTCGTGAAAAAACGAGTCCTTCCCTTTCGTTTTCGGAATTATGAACCCCTTGTATTGGAAAATGTTGATCTGAATTATGAGAATTTCGCATCAACGGTCGAGTGACCCTCGAACCTCCTGTTATGGAAATTGTTTCTTCTTCTCGGAATTATGAACGTTCTGGACTATGAATCTTCGGGAAATGAACCTTCGGACAAACGAGTGACCCCTGACCCCTGACCCCATGCATTCTGACCTGGTGCAGTTCCGTCGTAGGAGAAACCGATGATCCTGATGACATTCGAACTTACGGCGTACACGTCACCATGGATGTCATGATGATTATTTGCGATATCTGGAAACGATCCGATGAGTTTCCCATTGTACTGTGCATCAGTGCTCACCAAAGCTATAGGAAGAAAAAAGATGAATTACATAAAAAATTATCTTTAAAAGAGAAGATAATGGGTTGTTTTTTGTTTGTGCATTGGAGGAGTTATCTAAGTTAAACTAAAACAACACTAGAATAAAAGACTCCGTTGTCTAATTGAGTGATATGTATTTATATAAAATTTGTTTTGTTTTTTAAACTAAAAACAACACTAGAATTATATGAAATGCCAAGTGAAAGGTTTTTGGGTATTTTTTGGTGTCCCACTCGTTACCAAATAATTTTAGGAGTTATTTATGAATGCAATTGTCATCAAAGCTCTCGTATGATGTCTAGTATAGCATTAAAACTGATACAATGATCAAATATACAGAAATCTGAGATGTGGTCAACAAGGTATAGGCCTTTGGGACACAATGGCTTGAACTTGCAAATATATATAATATTGCTTTTCAGCGGGGCACCGAAAACTTGATAAACATTGGCATGATATTGGGAGGGGTCTAAAGTATCAGGAAAGGTCCGCGTACGTAGACCTTATTGAGGTCTTATATCAATGCGCTGCCCGTGTATGCCGAAGAACTCGGAAATATTAGGTGGTGTAGTTCCAAATTAATACCGGTAGGGGGAAATGGTAATTGAACTTAATATATGCAATATGTTAGGAAGGGCAGATCCAAGACAGGGGCAATTTGTTTCTAGCTCATTTTATGTTTGAACAAACTCGATGATGATCAATCTCTAAGAGCTATTGAAGATCTGCCCTTCCTATTGCATATAAGTGCAATGACCTTTGCACACAATGCCTTAAAGGTATTACAAGTTTTGGTATGGGGTCATGAATTTGGTTCAAATTAACATATTGGAAGCGTATGCCTTCCTACAATATTCATTGATCGTTGTCGCGGTTGAAATCGAGTCTAAAGTTATGAAATTGTAAATATTAAACTTCTTATGTTGTATAGTTCCCTCTCAAGGTCAAGATATTAATTTAGCTATGAAACAATATTTCTTGACTAAAATCAACCGATTAGCTATTCCCATTTGAAAATTATATATCACAACTACGCATTCTGAGATTTTCATGGTCGCAGCTACCATTGTATATACGGCCATAGGCGCTATTTGAAATTTATCAAAATTTACCGGGAGCACCGGTAAATTTTTATATTCAATTTTTCTCGAAAACAGAAGTGTTTTAGGGGCTATTTTTTTTAGTGCTTATAATACATCCACAGGGGCATCCAAATATATCAAATGTAAAGATTCACTATCCACCCAATTTTCAAAATTTTCCAAAACTTTGTATTACCTTTAATAGCTGACGTACGAGCGCGTCGGCTACTGGCGCGCATATAGGGCCTTCTAGTAGTCAGTTATTTAGTTATATTTTAGTGTTAAATTGACAAATTCAAACTGATTGTAAACTTCTCCAATACCCCAATGTGGGTGACATGAGAATAAATTGTCATTGTCATTGTCAGTTAAAAGGAATACTGTATACACAGTGTCAATGCAAAATGAACAGTGTCTGAAGTTCTAAACATAAGGTTTAATTACTGCTGTATGTGCCGATTGCATGTAGAAGGCTTGATTATCGCAAGTAAAGCACTAACGCAATCACAGTGACGCCTCGTTGGCGACAAGCATCAAGCAACAAGCAACGTGAATAAAAACTGTTGCTCTTCAATATCCCCCCCCCCCCTCCCTAAACAAAAAGAAAGAGGAAAGAGTGTGAAATGGACAGATTCGAAAAACGACAGATGGGATGAACTCGATCGTCACGATAACACCTATTCAAACTTATCTCCATGCATAATGGCGTGAGGAAAATTTCAGGAATGCGACAGCCGGTGCAGAATGACAGGATTGGACAAAAGGAAAATCGATGCTAAATATCTATATAATTATATCTCTGCAAATCGCATCATTTCATCCAATATTCCGATCCCATCAAAACAAAGAAAGAAAAGAATTGTAATTTCATATAACTACCTATACATTTATGACAAAGAAAGTATAATTATTATATTTTGCGATAGGCCTGCATATGTACTGTATAAAGTCTACTGCTTATTGTTTGTTTGTTTGTTTAGACGCTTGTTTGATTCGTTTCAATTTGTTTTGTTTTTGTGCTTTTTCGGGGGGGGCGAACTATTCATAATTTTTTTAAAGTAAAGTGTAAAGTCAAGAAATTTCCCTAACATGCCTAGATACATCTTTCCTTGAGATAATTTTGCAGTATGGGTCACTGAAAAAACATGTTTGCGTTTTGATTTAACAAACGAATCGTATATTGACTCGATTCATTGAATTAATGAAACCAAATCAATTTAGATGATGATTAGATCAGTTTCTTCTTGTTACATGGTAATTATTATTCAGAATCAAAATTTACCTGAACTGGAGATTATTGCAAACTATTGGGCCATTTTCCTGAGAGCTAACACGCTATTCAATCGAATTATACATATTTTAATTCAAATAAAACACAATATTTTCATGGAATATAATCAGTCCAATTAATCTGCCATACCCATTTTTTCATTACATCGTACCCCTCCACCCCTCTCTCTCTCTCTCTCCTCTCTCTCTCTCTCTCTCTCTCTCTATATATATATATATATATATATATATATATATATATATATATATATCTCCTGCAACCCCCCCTTCTTTCCCTTTCGGTCAATCCTGATTTTTTTTTTTTAAGAATCAGACGGAACATTTGCTTTCAACAGGTTTTTTCCAAATTGACCATCAAACAAAACTATTTGTTACATGTAATTTGCAATAATAACATACTTCATTTTACTTCTCTTTATATTTTATATCCTGGTTTGATTCAAATGATTTTATGTTTGAATTATTATGAGAAGCAACTTCACATCAGGGTGTGGACCATCCAAAGCTTGAATTTTAACAACAAACTTAAAAGCCAAACTATGTTTATATATTTCAAATGTTTTAAATATTTGCTACGTTCATTTACCAAATATTTTATCTCATTTGTTATGTTTGTGTTCTCGCTTTATGGCACACATATTCGATTCCTTACAGTCACCAAAGGCAAAAATTTTGCAATACCCCCGGAATAAATGTATGTCGCTTACACTAACATTATTCTTATATATTCCTTCCCCTTATCAATTTCATTATTGATTGATTTTTCAGAAAAGGATGACCTTAATGAGGTTTGATGAGGTTACCAATTGCGTTTAATGAAATAAGTCGGACATCCTTTATAAACATTTCTAAGATTTTATCTTTTTTTGAAAGCTATTATCACGTATTATTAGCATTATCAAAATCACAATATAGTCACATAGAGGTAGAACCGCATCGTTAGGATATGAAGCTGATCAATACCTACTACCCGTTCTTGACTATTAGGTCGCTATAATTTTACCTAAAACTTTCACTCAGTTATATCAAAATAACGACTTTTAATTCACCAACATCACTTAACGTATTTCGCGCTCCGGGTGCGTTTTTTTCGTGCCACTAAATTTTGCTAGCTACTTAAAATGCTAGACGCGAAGCACATTTTTAGATATTAAAAAATGAAATAATTCAACAAGTATATGACTAATATTGAGTTATACGAAGAAAATCATAGGACCGTCATGAAAACTTACCGATGAAAAACACAGAGGTAAACGCCCAACTTTGAAGCCATGTTGATGAAGTTTGACGGGAATTCGATTTGTCTTCGTAGAGAGCTATATGCAAACGATGCTTCGATCACGCGACCAAGTGATAGAACTGCAGGCCAGATGTCCAGGCCTCAACCAGTGACGCAAAGGACTGAAGTAAGCGATGATGTGGAGGCATGCGCAGATCCACGGGGGGGGGGGGGGGGGGGGGGGGGGGGGGGGGGGGGGGGGGGGGGGGGGGGGGTGGGGGGGGGGGGGGGGGGGGGGGGATGGGGGGAAGAGCGACGCCCCCTAAACCCCTGGCAAAAAAAGTTCAACAAAAGATTTTACCACAATTTTACCTCTTTTTTTTTGCTCAAGGGGGGAGGGGGGAGAGTTTGCTTACGATCTCCGTCGAAGCAGCTCCCCAAACTTGACAGCCCTGTGCAGTGGCGTACGCAGGATTTTTTTCAAGGGGGGGGGGGGGGTTGAAATCAAAGGGGTTTTTTTTTTCCAAAAAAACATACATAAAACATACACATAAAAAAAACTCGAGAGGTGGGTTTAACCCCAAAACCACCCCCCCCCCCCCCCCCCCCCCCCCCCTGCGTACGCGCCTGGCCCTGTGTTGGTATGTTGAGTTGAAAAACGGTCTGCGCGATTTTCAATTTCCGTCCCCCTATTGGAAAACCTTGGATCCGCCACTGTGTGGAGGTGTCGTGGTCTAGTAGAGGTGTCGTGGTCTGTGGATTACAATATGGTTCGTGATTCGAGCCCCGCCCTGGCCGCGGCACTAATTTCCTTTGTCAAGACATTAATCTATATTTGCCACTCTCGACCCAGGTGATATAAATTGGTACCTGACAGGAATTAATAATGTTTATAAAGCTATAGCGCCATAATGGAAGCCATGCTAAAGCTGGGATATTAACTGTGGAGCGCCAGGAGTGACAGGGCGGCCCGACAGACGTGTGCGGTATGCAAGAAGCCACTATTAATAATTATTATTATTATTATTATTATTATTATTATTATTATTATTATCATCATGATATAATGACAGAGTGTCTATTCGAATTCAATTTAAAGCTTATCTGCCGTAGTTTACAGGAGGGATTAGACCGCTCTGCAAGGTCACTGGACAGGTGGTTATCTCATCAACTCAGCTCTCAGTTAACATAAGAGAGAGGATCATGGGGGACCAATGGTCACCGATTAGGCATCGTTTGTTATATAGAGGGAGCAAGTAGCTACCAGTAGTGCAGTGGGCCTTTAAGATCAATTGAAATTTATTCCTACTCTTGTAGTTTTTTCGTCCAGATCTTTCGATCATAAAGAGGTGGCGGTACCGTGATTATTCTTAATATGTGATATTTTTCCTTTGCATACATGTCAAATGAGTTTGGGTCAATGCCATAAAAAGTTTATTAATTAAATTAATTTTTACATCCACTTCAAGGGTTCACACTGAGCGTTGACATGTATTGCTAATGATTTCGATACATTCGCAGATTCCAGATTATTTTAATTTCAGACCAATAAAATATCAAGTAATAAAAAGTTTGAAGCTGGCCGGAAAAAAGGAGGGGGACGAGAATTAATTTCATTCGTTTTATCACACATTCAAGTTTTCTCACACGATATGTTGTTCCAATGTCCCCTTCTCCGGTAAGCTATAATATTCAAAACCACACACTAAAAAGTATACACTCTCGAGTAGGCCTTCCTTGTAGTGCAAAAATAGTCTTTTCGCATTGTCACACACTGTGAAATTGTGAAACGGAAACATAATTGCCATGCATGACTGAACTGACAACAAAGCAATCGGTACAGTGTACCAGGCGCGGATCCAGGATTTCTTAGGTGGGGGCCCAAATTTGAAATTATGCGAGCCAAATATTGGTACGTAATGGTGACCAACAGTGACGTGATGCGGGGGGGGGGGGGGGGGTCGGTGCAGGGAGGGGCGAATTTCCCCCTCCCTCCTCCACGAAACGCGGAAGCTTTGACGTTTCATTTAATTATTAGAAAAAGAAGACGGTTCGTTGTACCGTTCTCGAAAATAAATCTCGTCTGAATTTAGTTTTTGCCCTCTCGCGCGAAGCGCGGAAAATTTTAGGATATATTAAATTATTAGAGAAAGAAAACGATTCGTTGTAGAGTTCTCAACTCTAAATTCTCGTCTGAATTCATGTTCCCCCCCCTATCGCGCGAAGCGCGGAAGCTTTTAAGTTTCCTTAAATCATTAGAGAAACAAAACGATTCGTTGTACCGTTTTCGAAAATAATCCTCGTCTGAATTTAGATTCTCCTCCCCCCCCCCCTCCCGCGCGAAGCGCGGAAGCTTTTACGTTTCATTAAATCATTAGAGAAACAGAACGATTCGTTGTACAGTTCTCGAAAATAATTCTCGTCTGAATTTAGTTTTTCCCCTCTCGCGCGACGCGCGGAAAATTTTAGGATTTATTAAATTATTAGAGAAAGAAAACGATTCGTTGTACAGTTTTTCGAAAATAATTCTCGTCTGAATTTAGTTTTTCCCCCTCTCGCGCGACGCGCGGAAAATTTAAGGATTTATTAAATTATTAGAGAAAGAAGACGATTCGTTGTAGAGTTCTCGACTCTAAATTCTCGTCTGAATTCAGGTTCCCCCCTTTTAAGTTTCCTTAAATCATGAGAGAAAAAAAGCGATTCGTTGTACCGTTTTCGAAAATAATCCTCGTCTGAATTTAGATTCTCCCCCCCCTCCCGCGCGAAGCGCGGAAGCTTTTAAGTTTCCTTAAATCATTAGAGAAAAAAGACAATTCGTTGTACCGTTTTCGAAAATAATCCTCGTCTGAATTTAGATTCCCCCCCCCCTCCCGCGCGAAGCGCGGAAGCTTTTACGATTCATTAAATCATTAGAGAAAGAAGACGATTCGTTGTACCGTTCTCGAATCTTAATCCTTGTCTAGATTCAGTTCCCCCTCCCTCTCCCCCTCCTGCGCGAAGCGCGGAAGCTTTTACGTTTCATTAAATTATTAGAGAAGAAGACGATTCGCTGTACAGTTCTCGACTCTTAATCCTCGTCTGAATTCAGGTCCCCCCCCCCCCCCCTCTCGCGCGAAGCGCGGAAGCTTTTAAGTTTCATAAGATTATGAGAGAAAGAAGTCGATTGGCTGAACGTTCTCGACTCTTAATCCTCGTCTGAATTTCGATTCTCCCCCTCCCGCGCGAAGCGCGGAAGCTTTTATGTTTCATTAAATCATTAGAGAAACAAGACGATTCGTTGTACAGTTCTCGACTCTTAATCCTCGTCTGAATTTAGTTTACCCCCTCCCCCTCCTGCGCGATTCGCGGAAGCTTTGACGTTTCATTAAACTATTGAAGAAAGAAGGCGATTCGTTGTACCGTTCTCGACTCTTAATCCTTGTCTGAATTCAGGTCCCCTCCCCCCCCCCCCCCCTCCCGCGCGAAGCGCTCAAGCTTTAAAGTTTCATAAGATTATGAGAGAAAAAAGACGATTTGCTGTTCAGTTCTCGACTCTTAATCCTCGTCTGAATTCAGGTTCCCCCTCCCGCGCGAAGCGCGGAAGCTTTTAATTTTCATTAAATCATTAGAGAAAGAAGACGATTCGTTGTACCGCTCTCAAAATAATCCTCGTCGGAATTAAGTTTCCCCCCCCCCCTCCATCCCGCGCGAAGCGCGGAAGCTTTTACGTTTTATTAATCATAAAAATTGGTATAACCGTTCTCGCCTCTGAATCCTTGTCTGAATTTAGGTTCCCCTCCCGCGCAAAGCGCGGAAGCTTCACGTTTCATAAGATTATGAGAGAAAAAGACGATTCGCTGTACCGTTCTCGATTGTTAATCCTTGTCTGGGGCGGCGGCGAAGCCGGCCCCGGAAGCTCAGAGGTTTTAGGCGTTTAATTAAGGTCATATGAGCATATTTTTTTTTGTATACCTTATTATTTCGTGACACTGGCAGGTAACTATTTGGCGTTGGGTCCAGGGGGCGGAGCCCCCCAAATCAGGGGCTTTAGGAATTAAATTACCGTCAGATGAGCATCTAAGGGCCCGCCCGTAGGGCCCTTGGTGGGATCCAGGGGCAGAGCCCACGGAAGCTTAGGGGTTTTAGGCATTTAATCACGGTCAGATGAGCATATTTTGATGCCTCATTATTTGTTAACACTGGCAGTTAACTATTCTTTCTTTCTTGCTCTCATTCTATTTTATTTCTCTTTAATATACTTTTTTCAAACAAAGTGTGGGGGGGGGGGAGAGCTCGAGGCTCCGATCCCCACCGTACCTCGGGCCCTGACATGTAGGAATCTCAAGAATCATATTTCTTGCCTGGCTGCAAATTTAGGAATTGGTCATTTTCCAACAAACACATACAACGTATAATTTACTAAAAAGTGAGGAAAAATCTCGGAATGATGTAATTTCAGCATTATTTGTAATCCACCATTGTGGAATTAGAAATAACCACATTTGAATTTGATTTCCACTAACCCCCCCCCCCCCCCTCTATATCAGTACGCCAGTATCTCCTCTTTCCTTTCCCTTTCCTTCCTTCTCTCTTATTTGTTTTATGGGGGGGGGGGGGGT